CCCTAAACCTACCAATCTCCACCCCTAAACCTACCCGTCTCCACCCTCAGATCCCTAAACACAACCATCTCCACCCCTAAAACCTACCTGTCTCCACCCCTAAAACCTACCCGTCTCCACTCTCCGATCCCTAAACCCAACCGTCTCCACCCTCCGATCCCTAAACCTACCCGTCTCCACCCCTAAACCTACCCGTCTCCACCCTCCAATCCCTAAACCTACCCATTTCCACCCCTAAACCTATCCTTCTTCACCCCCAATCCCTAAACCCACCCCAAACCTACCAATTTTCACCCCTAAACCTACCCGTCTCCACCCTCCGATCCCTAAACCCACCCATCTCCACCCTTAAACCTACTCGTCTCCGATCCCTAAACCCAACCATCTCCACTCCCCCTGGATCTTGTGTTCTGCAGTGAGGGGCTACTGTGCAATCCAGAGCCGGAGATGCTCGCTCATTCCATTTTGTTATATATTAAACCTTACAATGTAAGTGCAACTATAGAGCCCAGCATATCATAGAAACTTGGGCTCATTTGACTTGGGCAACTGCCCAAAGCACCCTAGAAATCACCTATAAATATCCAATATTAATGCATTTAGCAGCTACCAAAACACCATACCAGCCACTTGGCAATATCCTAACAACAGCAACACCTGTGTAATGCATGAACCTTCAAGAATATAAATATAGACATTGTAGATAGAAAGACTCATTTATGCATTAATGTCAAATTCAGCTGTTGTGCAGAGGTGTATAGGCTGTTTTATAATACCTGTTTTTTTTTACTGCTGGATATCCATTTTATAATAATTTGGTATGCCTTTAACTCTTCCAAATGAGTTTTGATGGTTCTCTGATTTTTTTTTTCTGCTTAGACTTGAAGAGGAAGAAAAGTTGGTGACTGCTGAGGGTCTCTACAAAAGAGCCACTGTGTTAGATGACACGTTTCAAGAGGCTGCAGAAGCCCTGGCGAAACTTCAGTTACGTATCCAGGTGAGCTGGATAAACCTGCATGTCATGAATACATGGTTGGCCGCTACTGCAAATTTAGTCAGAATAGTAGCTTCCAGTGTTTCGGGACACAGATATGTCATGTTTTAAAGAAACCGTTCACCCCAAAATGAAAATTTGCTGAGACCTTACTCATCCTCAAGCTGTCCAAGATGAGTTTTCTTCATCAGGTTTGGAGAAATGTAGGATTGCATCAGTGTCTCCGCAATGGATGCTCTGCAGTGAACGGGTGCCATCAGAATGAGAGTCCAAAC